CGGCAGGAGAGCCGCCTCCCGGGCCACCGGGCCTCACAACGTCTGCCTCCTCCTCACCCGCAGGGCCCACGGCTTTTATGCCAGAGATGCCGGAGTCACCCACAGAAAAAACCTGGGACTGCTCAGAAAGATAATGTGTCAGGTAATGGCGATGCTTCCCGGAGCGGGCCGGCTCTCAGCCGGGTGCTCTGAGCGTCGGTCCTCGGCCCAGGCGTTGGAGAAGTCCCTGGGTTACGCCGACTAACAAGTTCGGGGAGAAAAAAGCTGCAGTTTTGCTGAAGAGAGTTAGAAATGGCTAAATTTATTTCATGAGGCTCAGACCTAGAGGTGTTGAGAGGACTGTGCTGTGGAAAAACTGGAGAAGCACTTGTAAATCTAATAATCATGTTAGAAATAGCCTTCTGTGAGAATTTATGTCACTTGTTTCTTTCCCAACCCTACAATGGCTTAATATACCAATATAAGTGTTTTAGGGAGCATCGATGTTAAATTTGAATCAAATTCTCACAATAAAGTAAGGTAATCAGCAGAGGTCTTCAGGTAAACATACCCCTAGTGTGTCAGGGAAATTTATGTTTAAGAAAAAATAGGAATTAAACTAATTATAGACTAAAGTGAACTTGATTTTTTTTATCAGAACTGTTACTGCTCCTGTGGAGTAGTTGATAGAGATAGAAATGCATTGAAAGTGAATATGTGAAATTTAATTAGAAATTTTGTTATATTGAAAATATATTTATTGGAAGTGAGCCAAAGTGTCCACTTACACAGCTAAATAATGGGCATACAACATTTACTAAAATAAAAATTAGTACACTTGACTTACACAAATTCTTATTTTTTTGTAAGACTGGAACCTTTGTTAGTGGTGTTGAGCTCCTGACGTCTCTAATGCACGAAAAAACTTTATGTGAGCAGTTTATCCCATTAACATTTCAGGCACTTCTTGCAAATAACTGTAAAGGCATTTGTCAACATTTCACACAAAACACCAACAGCAGAAAGAACTCAGATGTTCAGTAAATTCAGTTAATTGCATGTAAAAGAGTTATGTGCTTATTTACACTCTGGTGACTTTTATCCTTGATTTTAAAAGTTGCTATTAAAGTTTAGTTGCCAGTTTTAATGCAGGCAAGTTAATGAGAAAATAATGACAAAATATTCATTACCCCTGCTGTCCATAATAGCTAATAAAAAGATCTTTTAATTTGGCTTTTAAAAAAGACAAAATTTCCCTTAAAAAGCCTTTTAATTTGGTAAAAAAAAAAACCACCCAAGATTTTCTTTTAGGTATTCAACAGCAAAGGTTCAATTGAAGTAAGTTATTAAGCTGCAGGAGCCAGCCAAGTAAAATATTTTCTAAAAACAGGGTTTGTTACAAAAGCCATCACTGTTACAACTGCTCTGTTTCAGGAAAGTACTAAATTCAAGAATGTTTGGACAACTCATTCTGCATCTCCTATTGCATATGAAAGAGGAAGAATTTACTTAGACAATTACCAGTGCTGTATTAGCAGGTAATAAATTTATAATTAAAAGTTACCCTGGCTTACAGTTTTAACGCTATGATTCTGTTTTAGATGCGTTGCTAACTTTACTCATCCAAATAGCCTGTGTGAATTGAACAAAAAATAACCAGGTGCATAAGTGTTAAATTACCCTCGGATGTCGTTGTGTCTTAATGTGACACCTGCTTTGGTGAAGGAAAGTCTGATCTTACTGGTGCTGTGTAACTTCAGCTTCCAGAGCACTTTAACAGGAGTGGAAGATTATCAGCGTTTTATAATTTTGCACTAAAAGTCAAGTGAACGGTAGTTGTTTGTGATCTAGTGACTAGCAGGGTGCTAGAGAACATGTCACAAAATCACCCTCTGTAACAAGCTTGGTACTATGTCTATAAATTCTGCATTAAAGTAGTAAATTATTGTTCATGTGAAAAAAAGTACAATGTGCAGAGTACCCGCTGGTTTTGTTAATGTATTTTGCAGATCAGTTTTCTGATCTGATGTACTCTCCTGTTCCATGATCAGCTGCAGAGACACAGCTTAGGAGGCCCCACAGGGCAGGGCAGAGGATGGGAAGTCATGTGTGCACCAGTCCTTGTCCTTGCCTGTCTTGTGAGGGAGGTAGCAGGGGCTTGGAGAGCTGCATTGCTGAGTAAGTAAGTTGTGGTCAGAACAGTTTTGAGACAGTGTCAGATGATACATAAAAAACAAATTACTCTGCCAGTGTAAACCACTGAGAGTTAATTTAATTAATCTATCACTTACAGCAGAGATTTAAATCTACTTAGCTGTGTTTTATTCCTACTTTGTCTGAATGCTTTCCAGTACTGGCTTAACCTGTCTAGCATCTTTCAGGTTTATCTTTGTCTCATCCTCTCCCTGAGGGGAAAACTCTGCACATTGTGAAGTTTTTGTTCTTTTTAAATATCTGTACATGACGCCACGCCTTTATATTCTGAAAGGCAACACTGGAAAAGCTTGAGGGGAAGGTTCTAGGATGATAGTTTCTGAAATATGCTTTCTTTTTAATGTATATCACTAAAGTAAGAATGTTACTATTAAGTTTGCTATTTAAAAACAAACCAAAAAAAAACCCCAACAAAACACCACTAGACCATAAAACATAGAGCAGGTTAGCTTGTATGTATTATGTTGTACTGACTATTGTTTATTAGGCCTTGATTTGAGAGCAATTTCAGGTTATGTTTACAAAGTAAAAATAAGATGCTTAGATTTCTGACCTGCCTAAAGAGAAGGCAGGATTTGTAAAACTGTATGAAATGGTTCGTTGATAGAAAGTCATTTATAAAGCAGACTAATGATTAACATTTTCCTCCAGCATTGCACAAGAGCCAAGAATACTTTATCAAAAGGAAAAGTGTTCGAAGTCAGAAAAAATAGAAGATGCTTTATTATTGGAATGCCCACTGGTAAGGTTACTTTTTAATAGAGCATTGTTGTGGAAAAAAAAAAACCACAAAACAATACCTTTTAGTGAAACATACTTAGAATGGAGTGTTCTTTCCCTGTGAACTGTTTTCTCAGTGTTTTTATGGCGTTTGGTCATTTAAGGTTTGCAACATGTGCTTATTTATTTTTACTGAATGTTTAGAGATGTACTTATGTGAATTTCACAATAGCACATCTAAATCCTTTTTTGTGAGCTTTTGTGGAAGATTTTAAAACCAGTGCCTTTATGCTTTTGCAACTAATTCTAATTCCTTACAACATAAATTCTGATTTATTTTTTAATTAGCAAGGCCAGTAGGTAGGAGTTTTTGTTTTTACCAGATCTGTTGTCGTGAAAAAAACACACCTCACAACAGATAAACTGAAAACCCATTAAAGCAGCTCTGCCCAGTAGCAGAATGCGTATTAAGTTTTGTTTTCTTGTTATTGTGTCAAAATGTTATATATCCTCCAAGCACAAAGTTTTTTCTGATAACCTTTTGTTACACAGGGAGAAATGCTACCAAGTCCATCACACTATAAATCTTCCCTGATAGTCTTGACAGTGCGGAACTGGCTTCTACGTCTCTCTGCTGATAGTGGAGAAATACTGGAAAAAATACACCTTGCTGGTTCCTCATGCAAATTCAGGTATAAAATATTGACAAGGCTTTATGTAATTAACAGTCATTAGTAGCATACTGGAGAAAGAGAATTGTGTTCATACCTGGCGCATTACCTGGCGTCCTGCTCCTGCGTGCCGTTTTCTCTTGAAGAATTTCAGCAGCTCAAGTATTGTGGTCTCAAATTTGGTATCAAGATCCACAAAAACTAGGCTACTTTTGGCTTTTCTTTGACAATTTTACGGCGTTTAATATTGCAATAGCAACACACCAGTAGAGGACCTTTAAGAGCTGTAAAACAAAATTCATAAAACATGAGAAAAATATGTTTAAAGATGAAAATGTTTTTAACTTGCAAGCATTCTTCTCCATAGGGTACCCATTTTGCTCTTTAAAAGCAGAGTAGTTATTGCTTCTGGTAAACTGCATCTTTTTTTCAGTTCTCAGAAGAAATTATTTTCTTTAGGCTGAAAGGATAAGAAAGCAGCGATTTGTGAAGTGAAGGAGAAAAATTAAGACAGTGAATGTTAATACTTCCAGAATTTTTCTTACGATCCTGAATGGAATAAGCTATTCCTAGTTCCATGGGTTTTGCATTATTGCAAACAGGAGACATCTCAGGCACCTCTCCCCAATCAGAAACTGAACAGTTTGCCTGGACAAAGGGATCTGCCTAGTAATAGTAGATTATATTTTATGTGAAATAATGTATTTATTATTAAATTATTTTTAAATTATTAAGATAGGCCTTTCTTGTCACAAATAGGTATCTGAGCTGGGATACTCCTCAAGAGGTAATGGTTGTAAAGTCAGCTCAGAATAAGCTCCCTGCAGCAGCACGACAAGTAAGTTTGTTGAAAAAAATCTGTCATTCTTAAATTTTTACAAAATAGATCAAAAAAAATTTACAAGGACAGTCATGCAAACATTATACTTTGTTATTATGGTAGAAGATGAAGGTGTCCTGCTGTTAATAAATGCCTCAAGTATAATAACTATATTCAGTATTGTTATTCCTTTCCAGGCAGGTATCCAACACTCAGTATTGTTCTATCTTGCTGTATTCCAAGTTTTGCCTCTTTCATTCGTTGGAATGCTAGAAATAAACAAAAAGGTAAGTTAATTCCTCTGTTAATTGTGATCTGTTGTGTAGTTGTATGAGAAGCACCGTTTAGGCAACCGTCTCAGAATTTCAGAAGTCATACCTACAGCTTAAAAAAGCATAGTGCCCTGAAACCTAAATTAGCGGTAATGTTGTTCTTGTGTCTGATAAGGGTATTGAGGGGAAGATTCTTACTTCAAATGACCAGAAGAGAAAATACAAATGCATTCTGCTATTGGATTACTCTATTGACATGTAGAAGGACTTTAGCCTTTACTTACAGCAATCATAAGAGTTGAGAAATCCTAAGGTGTTTATAGACTTCTTTTCACCTCTTGAAAGAAAGATAGATGTGCTTCTGATCCACTCCTAGTAATAGTCTGTGAATTCTGTACGCAGTTACAAACGTTTCAAACTTAGAATCATAGAATAGTTTGGGTTGGAAGGGACCTTAAAGATCATCTAGTTGCAACCCCCCTGCTATGGGCAGGGACACCTTCCACTCATCCAACCTGGCCTTGAACACTTCCAGGGATGGGGCAGCCACAGCTTCTCTGGGCAACCTGTTCCAGTGTTTCACCACCTTCAGTGTAAAAAATTTCTTCCTTATATCTAATCTAAATCTGCCCTCTTTCAGTTTAAAGCCATTGCTTCTTGTCTTATCACTACACTCCCTTGTCAAAGGCCCCTCTCCAGCTTTCTTGTCAGCCCCCTTTAGGTACTAGAAGGCTGCTTTAAGATCACTCCAGAGCCTTCTCTTCTGCAGGCTGAACAACCCCAACTCTCAGCCTGTCTTCATAGCAGAGGTGCTCCAGTCCTCGGATTATCTTCGTGGCCCTACTCTGGACTCACTCCAGCAGCTCCATGTCCTTCTTGTGTTGGGGACTCCAGAACTGAATGCAGTATTCCAGGTGGGGTCTCACAAGAGCAGAGTATAGGGACAGAATCACCTCCCTTGACCTGCTGGCCACGCTTCTTTGGATGCAGCCCAGGATACAGTTGGCTTTGTGGGCTGCAAACTCACCTTGCTGGCTCACGTTGAGCTTCTCATC